AACTCGCTACTTTACACTACACTAGATTCTACTCAAAACTTAACACAAATACAAACCCTTTAATAAAAAAAATGCATACTTTTAGAATACTTGATAACCCACCACGTAAATTATCTAATTAAGTTGTTACCATTGGGTGATATCCTTTTATGTTATTAATGTCATTATTTAAAGTGTCAAAAAAAAACTTATTGTAAATTTAAATTGTACAGATTGTTTTTCCAATGAAAAAAAAAACAAAACTTTTTAAAGTGTTCCGAAAATACTGACACTTATATATATATATCTTAAATTAAAGTTAATGTAATATACTTTATTATGGTAAAAAAAAATGTCGGACTTTGACACGGCCCGTAATAGCGCACTATTCATTTACCGTGAATCAGCACGTTATCCGGTCGTGATTATCAGCTGTCCACCGTCGCACTCATTAGTGTTGACGATAACACAAGTTCGTCTTATCCGGCGGTCGGTAGATAGGACAGGTCAGGGGGTTTAGCACCGCGAGACACGTCGGCGACTATGTAAACCAGTTCACCTGTGACTTACATCCGCCGTACGTGCCGTGTGATCTTTTCATCAGCGCATTGTCGATTTTTTGTATTTCGCACCTCACTGCCACCAGTTTTGTAATATTATATATAAATTAAAATAAAAGTTAATCGACCACTTAACGGTGTTACATAATTAATTTTATTTATTTATTTACATATTCTACATAGAAAGTAGAACTTATTCAACTTAATTTTTGAATGTCTTCCGGAAATACTAACACATTTATATATATCTTAAATTTAAGCTAATGTATTAATGGATTATTCCAAAAGCTACATGATATGCTATTTATTTATTAATATCCTGATTAAGATAAAGTATGTCGAATGAAAAAGGGATATATATTTTATTCCTCATAAAAAAATTGTGTTGATCCATACACAATATTTTTATTATATTATTATTTCAATAAGTTAAGTAGCATTATAAAATTAAAAATATAAAAAATAAAATCGAGAATTTTCACACAAAAATATCATTTGGTAGCCATTTTCAACGTGAAGACAAAATGAAAACTGAATTGTCTTTTTCATATTAGAGTACGTTATATTAGCTTAAATTTAAGATACATATAAAAGTGTCAGTATTTCTAGAACACTTTAAAAAGTTAAGTTGAAAAAGTTAATTTTTTGTGAAAAAGTTATCATTTAAAATCCCTCGCCGTGGGCAGGAAAATGGTCAAATTTATTAAAAAAATATATCAAATAATAGGTAAAGATATCAAGATTTATAAAAAAAATTATATTGATTAGTTTATTTTTGAAAAAGTTATGGCAGTTTTAAGTAAAAAAATTTCGAAAATTTCGAAAATTAGTGATTTTAAAATTTATAATTTTTTTGGAGGTTTCCCCCATTAACGAGGAACGAGGGAAATTTTTTCAATTTTTGACTAGATATGATTTGTGATTTTTTGATGTATCGTTGAAAGGAATCGGTTCGGTGAGAGCTGAGAAAAAGTGGTAACAGGCACAAAAAAATTTAAAAAAAAAACACATCACAGTAAAATTAATACCTTCTTAGCTTCGCATCAAATCTAAAATACAATTTTTGTCAAAAATTCTGTTTTATATTTTTAACTTTATAATGTTATAACTTATTGAAAAATGTATGGATCAATATAAATTTTTTTTTTGGATGCCTGATGTCTTTAACTATCATTTGGTATATTTTTTTTATAAATTTGACCCTTTACCCGCCTACAGGGGAGGATTCAAAATGAAAACTTTTTCACAAAAAATTTACTTTTTCAATTTAATTTTTTAAAGTATTCCGAAAATACTGACACTTTTATATATATCTTAAATTAAAGTTAATATTACGCACTTTATTAAGAAAAAAAAAATTCGGACTATATTTTGCCTTCACGGTAAAAATGGCTACCTAATGCTATTTTTGTGTGAAAATTCTCCATTTTATTTTTTATATTTTTAACTTTATAATGTGCTGGCTTTTTTTTATACTTTTCTTATAATATTTAAACTTTTTAAATTATACAGAATCAATACAAAATGCTTAATTTCAAAATCTCATTATTGTAATTTTTTAATAAAATTCTTATAAGATATTTTAAAAAATATTTTTTAAGTTTTCTTTACATTGACTAAATTAATAGTTGTACATTATTTTTAATAATATATTATATTATAAACATTAAGAAGTAGTTGAAAATAATCTTATTCCATAACTAAGTTTTAAAAAATTATAGTAGAATAATTAAAAAATGTTATCATTTCTAATTTGTTTTTTGGGTTGAGTTTCTTAATCTTCACCTGGCATTTTCATAAAAACATTAAGTTAGATAAATATAGTTTTATTAGAAAACAATGATTTTTATTAATATACACAAAACAAAACTTTTATTTCATCAATGAAAAATCGTATAAGTAATACAAAAAATTATTTTTATTTTTTTTCAAATTTTATAAATCTAAAGAAATTTCTAAGGACTTTTTGTCAAAAATTTTAGTTTTTTCCATTCGAATTTAAATAATTAATAAATAATAAATTACGCATTACAAAGCTTATAGTACACGTGATGAATTAACATTATCAAAAACAAATCTTATCAGTATGAAACATCATACATAAAATGAAATAAAAAAAAATTATTAAATACTTAAGACCTCAGCCAGTAAATCGTATGAAAAATTAACTTTGACTAAATTATTTTATTTAAAAGAACGTGCATATTAACATTTGTTTACAGGTATTGTAAAATAAAGGGGATCTAAAATTTTTATCAGGGACATAAAACGGTGTTTGAGCTAGTATTTCAGGATAGTCAATAGAGTATTATGCAATATTTTATAAACAAATCTAATATTATTATTGATTATTAACTTACATAAAGAGTTCAACATTGTTTTTTTAGTACTTACTTATATTGCCCTCTAAATAAATAATTAAACATTTAATTAGCGATAATCAAACCTATTCTATGTAATTTAATTAAACTTCCTAATCTTACCATTATGATCTGAAGTCGTATTGTTATCTAAATAACAAAAAAGTTAAAGTAAAGATTTCATGGTAATATTCATGGTAATATTCATTTGATATAATTTAAATAGATTTACTTATTTATATGTTAATCGGATTAATTTTTACTGATTTCACCTGAGTATGTAACGTATACTCATGTGAAATATATATATTATACATATATAACAGTATTTTTTGAAAATCTCATGATAACCCTGATCAAATCGTGATTTTTATATGGATATTTGTACATATTAATATTATTTTATATATTATTTCTTAGATTTTGAAAATTATTCCGAAATTCTGGAATTTAAATTGAGTTTAATTAAAGTTTGTGTAATAACTTCTCATTGAAAAAATATTGTCCCAGGAATTAATACTTTTTAAGTGCATCAAATTAGAATACATGTTTTGAATTTAATAAAATGTTTAAGGTTTTTTTTACTAGTGAATGGCACTTGAATGTTTAACCTAAATTCAAATATTTAATAGAAATGAGTTTCGAATTTTTAAATTAACATAAATGTATAATACACGAAGGATTACAGTTACAGGTAGCTAATTGTTTTTTTAAAATAATGTATTTTATTTATTAAAATATTATTTTATTTATTATATATATATTATATTATGTATATTTTATTTATGTATAATATATTTTGAAATATTTTTTGATTTTTACAAATGTTTCCTATTTGAAAAGTCAACGATGACATCCTTACAAAGTAAAAGGTATTAACTTAATAAGTTTACATGGCTAATAATTTAAAAAATATGTTACGATAAATGTATAAAATAAGTTATGATAGCTGAGAACTGAAACGGTAAGATAAAAATAGCCATAGCATGATTCAATCAATACTTTATTTGGTTTAAATCGAATACGAAACCTAAATGTTAAGAGGATTTGAATAAAACTACACAAAGAAAATATTTATCAACTAAATTTTTGAATGTATTCCGGAACTTCAGACAACTACTTATCTATAGAAAATTAAACTCTTAAAAATACTACAATTCTAAAAAAGACTATTTCACGGTTGGTTAATATAAGAAATTGGCAGTCAAGTTAAAGTAAAATGCAAATTTACAAAAATATTACTTTAAATTTAAGGTAAGCAAATAATTAAACAAGCATTAAATTTTTTTAATAAGGTTAAAAAACAAAGAAATTGAAAAAATACGAATATACATGAAGAGTGAATGTGTCAAACGTTCTATGTGCCAAAAACATATTTGTTCAGAAAACACAAAAAACGATGGTAACATGGGCATGTCTCAAATAACGAACACCATCTATGAATGCAATTTTGTACAAGTAAAAAATTTAATTGACATTTGAAACACATACAAGATTGTGGCCTTTGGCACGTAGAACATAAATCAGAAATAAAACAATTTTTCACTTTTTTGGCACATAGAACGTTAGACACATTCACTCTTCACATATTGTTGTGAAATTTAACAGATTTGTATTGAAGTCTTATTAATAATGTGATGTTCATTACTAATAGATATCATATTTACTAATAATCCTAACAAATGCAGTATTAATAGAGATATTAACATTTTTTTATTATTTGACAATAGTTATGTTACTCTCAAAGATTTCAAGTTATAATTTATTGTTTTATGTAGGAACAATTAGCATCTAACTTAAAGCAAGATTACATATAAATAACAACTTCTATATATATTAATTCCATTGGTTCTTCTTACCAATATAACCTAAAGCCGTATTAATATCTATATGATATAAGTTTATAAAAAAAATTATAATTATCACTATTGATTTTGTTTACTAGTAATAATGCAAAATTAAGTTGGAGTTTCAACAGAAAAATTAAATGGTTTTTGAGTGAATTGTTTAGGAGAATCAATAGTATTTTTCAATAGCATAAATTGAATTTAATTTCATTATTGATAATTCTCTTAGATAAAGTGTCAAATATTGTACTTACTTGTTTCTTGAGAAGTCGTATTGTCATCTAAACAAATAAATAAACATTGATTTAGCGATGTCCTACATATATTAATTGCATGTCCCATTCTTACTAGGACTATCTGAAGTCTCATTGTTATCCACACATAATAAAAAAGTTAATTTAAAAAGTTTTTAAATATTCTGGAAATCACCCCAAAAGTATCCGTAATAATTGTTCGAAAATTAGTAATATCATAAAGGAATAAATCTTAAATGTCCTATAAAATTCTCACTTTTTCAACAGGAATTAAAAAAAAAAATTATATTATATATAATTTAAAGTTTTATACAAAATAAAATAGGTTAAAAAGACATGCCAAAACAATACATATTAAAACATAAATACGTTATTTATAGATTTAAAGTAGGGAAAATTGCTATCTAACTTGATGTCATTTAAATATCTAAATAACAAATTCTATATATGTTAATTCTATTTTCCCCTCTTACCAGTGTTATTTGAAGTCATATTGATACCTTAATAACAAATAAGTTAAAATAAAATATTTTTAGTAATATTCAGTGGAGATAAATTAATCATATTATTATTTACTTCTTAAAATTGCAAGAAAGTCATCAACTAAAATAAATACATTTCATATTTAATTTTATATATGATTTTATATTTTATATGTTTAATATTATTTTTTTTTAATTTCCTATGATACACCTGCCTTATAAGTAATCTTTGCATGAAGATATTAACTCATTTTTTCTTAGATTTTGAAAATGTTTTGCAAATTCTAACATCATTTAATAGAATTTTATTAAAGCTAATATAATACCTCCACTTTGGAAAAAAAATTGCACTTGGGACTTATTTATCTTTGTAGGATTATTAAAGCTATGGCCTAAATATGATTTTTGTGTATTTATTTTAAAATTAAGTTTTTTGAATGGTTGAATTTTTTTACAAATTAATATCTATTCTTTAATTAAATAACGTGTAGGATTGAGGTCTCTCTCTCTCCTTCATTTTTTTTCATTATTATTTATATAAAAATCATTTGGAAATCTTTTATGATAATTATGTTAATCATTATCAGATATCTGTCTAGAGAGTGATCATAACCCACTAAATAACTTATAGAATAAAAATTATTTTGAAACTTTTTTTGTTATTTTTAGTTTTTAGTTCTATATTACTCTTGAGTTATTAATTGTGTAATAATTTTTGAGTGCATATTTATGGCTTGTATGGATGTCAACTTTATTTTATTAAACGGTAACACGTTTTGAATTCAAGAAAATGTTTAAGGTTGATCTTAATGTTTTAAAGGTATTAAAGTAACGGGTAGCTAATTGTGTTTTTACGATGTAGCTATTCAATGGAACGCAACATTTATTGTCAATTATGTCTTTATCAAAAGAAGTACATAAAATTTGATAGTAAGGTACAATGTTGTTACAATGAGTTAACATTTATAATTACACCAACTGACAATATAGAATTATTTTTTTTATTAAAATAGTACCTAATGTATTTGATTAAATTCAAAATATGTTTTTCATTTGAAAAATCAACGGTGACATCCTTGCAATGTACAAGGTATTAACTTAAAAAGATTTACATAGCAAATAAAGTAAGAATAATGCTAATAAAAGTCATCAAACAATAAATTATTTTATTAGTGGATGATGATAAAAATCACTCTGTATACTATTATGCCCTATTCTCACTTTATTTTAATAAAATTGGATACTTTTCTTTTCATTTGTGAACCTTGTAAAATATTTACCTAATATTAACATAACATATTGAATATAAATAAGAGTTATTTTACTCACAATAATTAATAACTATATCTGGGATTTCAGCTAAAAATATAATATATAATTAATAACGTAAAATAATACTTTTCAATAAAAATTATCCTTTCCTAATTTATGAAGTGTGGGCAACAGCCTTATATAAGGTCATTCAGTTTAATCATAATATTCTATTTATTTAATTAGTTCATTTTTCAACGTTTTAAAATATTTACTTAATATAAACACGCCATAGAATATAAAAATGGGTCATTTTACTCACAATCGTTAAGCACTTCCTCTTGAATATTGAATACACCTACAAAATACAATACTTTATTAATAGCATACAACTACCTATTATAACTTAATTATGTTATATTCAAAGGCTTTTTTCAATTTATACAAGAAAGAGTATCACAATTTGTCTGCTTTGAACTATCTATAATAACGAGTAAAACATGAAAATGTAATAATTTATTAATCTTAAATTTTATTGTTACTACTACCCACATAGCAATTTAGATATATTAATATAAATATTCATACAACATACTTTTTAAAATATTTTGAAGCAAATATTGTATCAATATCTTATAAATATAATAAAAAATAATTTCTATTGAAATATCTCCACAATATATACACAAAATAATTATTTAAATATTTGCATATAAATATTATGAAAATATATTAATTAAAATAAATATATATCTTGTTGGTCAACTGAGGTCACTTAAGAGAAGCAAGTCATCTACTTTTAATTACACCCTTTGATGTTATTAGTATCTGGTTATAAAACACTTATGCGTTATATATACTTATTCCGAAATCCTTAATAAGTAAACAACCGTTTTCTCTAATTAATTTAAATTTTAATTGATATAATTCAATTAATCTAGGAATCAATAGGAAGCAATCAGGGACAATGTTTATTGTCTATATGAGTTTCTCTCTGAAGAGATTCATCTATAACAGTCATCAGTGTTAGTATTAGATGCTATTTGTCGGGCACAGAGGATCAGTGACCGAGGAGCGACAGGTTGGTCCACAGTCACCGTGACTTTACACGGAACACCAGTGCCGGACAACTATGTTATCCGTACCGTTCGCCTTTGATTTGTACCAACCTCGGGTACCTTGGTAGAATCATGGACACTATCCAAGCCACATCGTATTATGGTATACATAACCTCATGTGTATCTCCCCACTGGAAAATGCCAGTTGGTGCCAAAGACAGGCCAAGTGACCCGTCTCTCAGCTGCTTTCCCTGTGACCAGCATTTAGCGACAATGTCATTCCAATGACAACTATCACAGATCCAAGCCACATTGTTACCCGAGCGGTAAACCGGTCTGATAACGAGTGTCGGGACGGCAGACGATAACTAGGTCATCATCTGGGGTACGAAAAAACACCGTGGGGGCAAGTCAGGGACAGTAAAAAAACCCTTTTTGCTATTATTTGCAGGCTTTTTAAAATAAAATTTCGTTTTTAGTTTTATGAGCACGATTATTTCTTATTATTGTCCTGTAAAACTAAAAACCCTAAACATTTTTTAATTACAATTAGAATACATTTGTGTATTAATGCATTAATATATAAGTCAATTTCTGCCTTACAAGGAGAGTTCACGGTGACTAAATTGAATATATAGTTGCACTTACTTTGAATTTTTTGTCTATGCCCCCCTAAACGGGGAAAAATTACTTTGATAATTTGAACTTCCTTAAATAGATTTTTTTTATCATCTTGTAGTAGTAGTAACCTATGGGTCAGTTGGTACCACGTGTGCCTCTAGAATTCAAAGTAAGAGGTTAGAATCCCACGAAACAGTTGACTTTTTGAATTTTTTTAATATATTCATAAAACATATTGCAAAATATTTTTTTATAATATTTCAGAAATATGCCTTTAATATATTATGAGAATGTGGTTTTTGCTAGAAAAATATATTCTGAGAATATTTAGAAATATTCTAGTTATATTCCAGAAATATTTTATTACCAAAAAGAAATATTTTAGAAATATTTCATTACTATGTGGGTAATAACATTACAATATTTTAAAAAAATTATAAAGATTATACTTAATAAACGTTAATCGTCATAAACTAAATTTTAAATCCATCACTCAGAATATTATATATTGTTATGATTACAGAATTATTTTCCGGATAAAATATTGTTATTTATCGTTTGGTTGATTAATAGGTTATTCGGAGTTATTTACTAGGATTGTTAACAATTTTATTTAAAATTTTCTTAAGGAGAGTGACTTTTAAATATTGAACATATAAATGCATAAATGAAATTTAAACCATATATCAAAAAAAAATAAATGATTACACAGAGTATTTAAGGAATAACAAAAGTATTGTTATAATAACATAAATATTGTTATAATATTAGTAGTATCATAATTATAAATTAATAAATTTTAAATAAAACATAATAATATATGTTTTTATACAAAAAAAAAATATTTTTTGTATAGGAACTAGAAAAAAACATACTCAATGTAAAATTAAATAATTAATATTTACAATTTAAAATTCTTTAGTCAAGTACTTACTTGTTTCTTGAGGAATCCTATCGTCATCTAAACAAATATATAAACATTCAATTAGCGTTGTTTAAACCTATTTTATGTATGTTAATTGTATTTCCTTTTTTTACCAGTATGAACTGATGTCGTATTGTTATCTAAAAACCAAAAAGTTAAAAGAAAAAAATTTAATATTCATTTGATATATCTTATATGGATTAACTTATAAGTTAATCTAATTGATATTTACTGGTTTCATCAGAGTGTAAAATACTTACTAATATATATATATATATATATGTATGTACAGAGTGATTGGCTAACTATGTCTCAGGAAAAAATAATTAATAATCTTAAAAAATACAAGTATTATAAATGATTTTTTTTTTAATCGTTATTATGAGGTGTTTCACAAGATAATTTCTACCCGCATCCTTTATGCCTACAACTTGTATCAACTTCATATTTTCAAATGGCAACCCTAATTTTTTACACCATTAGATTTAGTTAAAAAAAAAAAAATATTTTATTTTATTTTATTTAATATTAAGTGCTCTACGACTCTCTAAAGTTTAGGGTTTATTAAGAAAAAACTATACCAGATTCGAACGTTATAGGTGGTAAGTCGATAAGCGCTATTCTGACTACGTGCGTTGTCACAGTAAACCGGCAGCTCTTATCGCTACATAAAATAATAATGTGACCAAGTTGGAAAAATTACTGAATTTTTTTATCAAATATTGTAAGTTTTAAAGTGATCTTATTTAAAATTCATAATTTTTTACTTTTTTATTTTTGCTAAATTTTTTTTTATGATGAACAAAAATATATAAAAATAATATGGGGTTGCCATTTAAAAATCTGAAGTTGATACAAGTTCTAAATGCAAGGGATGATGATAGAAATTTGATTTTTCTTGTGAAACAGCTCATCAAAGATCCATAATGATTAAAAAAAAAAATTGTTTATAATATTTTTTAAGATATTACTTGAGACATAGTTTGCCAATCACTCTATATATACATGTGTATAAAAAATCTACCTTAATGTTTCATAAAAACATTAAGTTAGTTAATATAATTTTATTAAATACAATAAATTTAATTAATATACACAAAACAAAACTTTTATTACTTTAAAGTGAAATTCTATAAGTACTCCAAAAATTTATGGTTAAACTTTTTTTTAAATTGCATAATTGTAAAATTTATTATTTCCTATAAGAATTCAAAAATATGTAATAATGTGTGTTGGTATATGTCCAATTTTTCAATTTTTTCATAGAAATTAAAAAAAAAAATACTTAATATATAAAGTTTTTTAGTTAAGTAGTTATTTACTTGTAACTTGAAAATTGTCTTCTAAACAAGTATATATGCATTGAATTAGCTATGTTTAAATCTATTCTATATACATATAATAGATTTAATAGAAATGCAATATTTATAATAACATAAAGTAATAATTTTTAAAACATAAATATTTTATTCTTGAGGGCGTTGCAGAAACCTATACGCGGTGTCCCTGTTAATGCTATATTCTCACAGCTAACTAATTCTGCTAACACCGGTGCCAAAAAATACCACATAGCTCCTCAAAACGTTCCTTTTCAGGACCAATCTCAGGTAATGCCTCGGAATTTGCAGTGCTAACTCAAATTATCAAAGGTTTCTCAGCGTATAAAAGCTAGCTACTTGCTACCTAATGGGCTGAAGGTCAATGTGATATTTTTTGTTTGCAAAAGACGTACCGTGACGAAACTAGTATCCGTCCAAGAATTTCGGGAATGAACCTTATAATTGAAGTACCTAACGCACTCTATACTTAGAAACTGACCAAAACGGTGAAAAGGTTTTAGAATGGGCTAAAACTGAGCTACTCGATTTAATTCACGGTCCCAAGCTTCCAAATTCATTTAATAGTGGGCGTTGGAAAAGAGGATACAGCCCAGACCTAATCTTTGTAAGTAGTAACATAAACCAGAGATGTTTTAATGATGTATGTACTCCTATATCAAAAACACAACACAGAGCATTAAAACTACAAATAAACGAAGTTATTAGGTCTGAAACGATACAATTCATGAGGAGATTTAATTACAAAAAAGCTTATTGGGAAAGAGATGCTATTATTAAAAAAATTCAGAACCTAGAACCAACACCAGAAAACTACGAAATATTTGCAAATAAAGTAAGGAAAATATCTAGACAACACATACACGTGGCTGTAGAGAAAATTACATACCAGGCATAGATAAACAGACTGGAAAGCTGATAGAAATATATCGAAACTTGTTTAAAAACGATCCATTTAGCGACGACACCATTAAATCAGGAGAAAATCTTAAACAGCTTGTAAATGACAAAAACAGAAAGTGGCACAATCTCATTAAAAATTCTGATACGACTAAAAATAGCAAGAAAGCCTGGCACCTAATAAAAAAGCCAAGTGGAAATCCAATTGTACAAAGAACTTGTATAAATGTCACTGCTAATCAGATAGCCACGGAGTTACTTAAAAATGGAAAACACAGAAGGAAAATCAAGAGAGAAAAAATCATAAAAGACAAAAACAACGAATGCCATATCTTTCACCATGACTTTAAATAGATTAACTCATCACCAGCCTGAAAGAAATGAAGAATGGGAAAGCGGCTGGGTATGACGAAATTGCAATAGAACTAGAATTATATACTTTAACTATTAAATATATGTCTATATACAGGATGGCCCACCACTCACTGACAACTTAAATAACTTTTGATCCAGTTAATATTTTTAGCTGATTTTTTTTTTAAATATTAGTTAGACGTTAGGTCTATAGCTATATCTCAATAATTAATTTTTTTACATTTTATTAAAAATATTAATTATTTTTAAATTTTAAATAAAAAGTAAAAAAAAAAACTAAGATAGCTATTTTGTAGAGTAGAATTTAAGAAAAATTTTAGTAAAAAAATATCTTATTAATATTCAGTAGTAAATATTCTGTAGCGTTTTGAAGTTTGTGAAAATTTGAATTTTCATGTACTATTTTACGGTATTAAACATTGAAATACGTATTGAGAAAAGGACAGAAGAAAACGCTATCTTTTCATGATTACTGTGTATACATATGATGATAGTGTGTATACATTACAAACTTGGCATAAATACCATGATAAGAAATTAGATAAGGCAATTATTACTTATCACTCTCATTCAAAAGTATATTGAAAAGATAGCGTTTTCTTCTGTCCTTTTCTCAATACGTATTTCAATGTTTAATACCGTAAAATAGTACATGAAAATTCAAATTTTCACAAACTTCAAAACGCTACAGAATATTTACTACTGAATATTAATAAGATATTTTTTAACTAAAATTTTTCTTAAATTCTACTCTACAAAATAGCTATCTTAGATTTTTTTTTTACTTTTTATTTAAAATTTAAAAATAATTAATATTTTTAATAAAATGTAAAAAAATTAATTATTGAGATATAGCTACAGACCTAACGTCTAACTAATATTTAAAAAAAAAATCAGCTAAAAATATTAACTGGATCAAAAGTTATTTAAGTTGTCAGTGAGTGGTGGGCCACTCTGTATATATGTAAATATACAATCTAGCAATCACGGCTCAAGATACAACCTTCGATAATGTGGAAAAAAATATGTTGCTTCCACCTACGAAACTGCGTTGCCAAGAAATGTCTTAATATAGAATGGTTAGGAAAAATATTGCAGAACACTGACTACCCCGTGTACCTAGGCGTTACCCTAGATAGGACCTTGACATTTAAGGAGAACTATTTCAAAACTAAAATGAAAGTACAAGCAACAAATAACTCGCTGAAAACTCGCTGGATCCAATGGGGAGCTCGGCTTTACACCATGCGTACAACCGGTATAGCACTATGTTTCTCAACTGAAGAATATGCGTGTTCAGTATGGAGCCAATCCAAACACGCCAAACATGTATTTATAACTTTGAATGATAATTGCAGAATCATAACGGGATGTCTTAGGCCTACACCTACATATAAGTTATACCTTCTAGCAGTCTTAGCTCCACCTGAAATTAGAACACAAGTAACCACTGATATAGAAAAAACCTAACAGATAAAGGATGAAAGACATCCTATGTTTGGACATGAAAACGCGAGCACAAGTCTTAAATCCCGAAAAATGTTCATACAAACAGCAAAAGAACTACTTGAACCCACACAAAACGTTAGACTGCAAAGGTGGCAAAATGAGCTACAACCGGAAGAACTGATTCAGACTACACAACAACTTCTGTTAGGTGGACATCTTCCATGTTTACTATGGAAAACTCTTAACAGAATGAGCCGGGTTGGCGAGGACTAAAGCTAACATGGTAAAATAGGGGATTAGTGGAGAAGATCACACATGCAAATGTGGAGAACGACAGACTGATAAACACCTTTTGTCATGCACCATGAGTCCAGCACAATGTAACAAAGAAGATCTGATTTTGACAAACAAAAATGCTCTAGAAAAATACTGCTTATTGTTCGCAACACAACATATAGAATGTTCCGAAAAATGTGAATTTATTAGACATACCAAATTGATTGATTGATTTATTTGTTTATTTTAGCTTCGATGCAAAGCTGGGAAAGTATTAATTTTACTATGATGTATTTTTTTTTTGTTTCTGTTACAAATTTTTCTCAGATCTCACAGAACGATTTCTTTCAACGATACGTCAAAAGATCACAAATCGTATATAGTCAAAGACTTTACACTCAAAAATTGAAATAATTTCCCGTAAATGAGAGAAATATCCAAAAATTACAATTTTAAAAATCGCTATTTTTCGACAGTTTATTCAATTTTTTTTTTTTTAAAACTGCTATAACTTTTTTAAAAATAATCAAATCAATATAATTATTTTTTTTATAGATGCATGATTTTTTACCTACCATTTAATGTATTTTTTTTTATAAATTGGACCCTTAATCTGCTCACAAAAAGGGATTCAAAATGACAACTTTTTTACAAAAAATTAACTTTTTCTACTTAATTTTTTAAAGTGTTACGGAAATACTGACACTTTTATATATATCTTAAATTAAAGTTAATATAATGTACTCTAATATGAAAAAAAAAAAAATTCAGTCTTCATTTTGTCTTCACAGTGAAAATGGCTACCGTATGCTATTTGTGTTAACATTCTCGATTTTATATTTTACATTTTTAACTTTAAAATGTTAAATCAATTTGAAAAATGTATGGGTCAATACAATATTTTTATGAGAAAAATATTTATATACATCTTTAATTCAACATACTCGTTTTTTAAATCGGACCATTACCCTATATACAGAGGGGGTTCAAAACTTAAAAGAGCATATAGAAAGTAGAACTTTTTCAACTTAATTTTTGAGAGTGTTCCGGAAATACTGACATTTTTATATATATCCTAAATTAAAGCTTATGTAATAAACTGTAATATTAAAAAAAAAATGTTGTACTTTATTTTGTCCTTATGGTGAAAATAGCTATCAAATTCAAAAATATGCTATTTTGTGTTAAAATTCTTGGTTTTGTATTTTATTTTATTGTAAAGGGATTACACTAATTTTCAAAAATATATCAATCTAATTGACATAGTATAAAAAGTTAAACATATTTAATTTTTTTTGTTTTTTTGAAGTCGAGAAAAATAACTTTAAAATTTTAACTAAAGTTCTATTTTTATTAAGTGAAGAATGCAACGTACAGTTTCTGAGACGGTAACAATTTCGGAAACACTTGAAACTTTCACACCTGTGACACTGAATTTTTTCTTAATTCTTTTTGAGTTAAAAAAAATGTTTAACTCATTTGATTTTTATCTCATTTAGATTCAATAACTTCAATAAATATCAAGGATTCCATTACTGTAGTCACCTCTCGTGATAAGAAATTCATATTAATATTATTTTACTATGTGGTTTTTTTTTTTGTAGCTATCATTTATTTCCTCAGCTCTCACTTGACCTATTTTTTTGACAAATTTTTTTTTTAAATTAAACACTATCTAGAGATTTGCATCGAAGCGTTTTTTATGATAGTGACTTTTAATCACGGTCTGATATCATTTATACTGGACCCAAATATGCCACGACCCCACTGTGCTGGGCTTTTTATTTTATTGATATTTATTTATTTTACTATCTAAGTATTTTACCAGTATTTTATTTTATTTTGAATTATTAATATAAATGTTAATGGCATTTTTTTATAATCGGAAACAACAAGAAGAAGATTTTATTCTCAAATTTATTTTTAAATATTTTTTAGGATCATTAGGATCTAACTGTATGTTATATTAAGATCTAAATATCAAATTCTAAGTACTTTAATTTTATTTTCCAACTAAGTAAACACTTACCAGTGTTATCAAACGTCATAGTAATATCTATATAACAAATAATATAAAATAAATCATTTGTATAAATAACTAGTGGATATAAATCAATTATATTATTATTTACTTCTCATAGCTACAAGCAAATCAATCACTAAAAAAATTAATAAATTTTATGTTTTATTTTATAAAATTGTACATGTTTGAACATAAATACATTTTTTTAAATTTCTATAGTAAACCTGCAAAATAATTAATCTTTGTAGTTAGAAATCTGCATATTAATAAACTTTTTTTTTTAGATTTTGAAAATGTTTTGGATATTCTGACATTTTTAATAAAAGTTTATATAATCGTTCGTGTGGGATACTAAATTAATAAAATGTTGAATACTCTGATAGATAAAGAAACCAAAATTACTTCTTAAGTACTTACTTGTATCTAGAGAAGCTGTATTGTTATCTAAACAAATAAATAAACATTTTATCCATGTTTTTCTAATAACTATATATTTTAGTCTTGTCACTCTAATGATAAGATAAATATTAAATAATCAGTAATTCAACATTTGAACATTACATATTTATAATTTTTAACGTTATAATTGTTTGAACGGAACGCCCGTTTATAATGTGCGGGTTAGTTAACGTTCAGTTGGGTTATTTAATTATGCCGGAGAAAGAAATAGGGTGTGGACTGTATATAAGAGGATGGTACTTACACTAAATAAAATAATAAGAATTATAAGACAAGGAGTTATATATTAAAGTAACAATATATATTCATATATATATATATATATATATATAAACTATCATAGAATTGTGGATTGAGGGGTCACTTAATTCTAAAATGGCCAAAAAGGCATCTCTGAACAAAATAGGTTAAATATAATATAATAATTACAAACAAATAAAAACTTAACTGTGTAACGTACAATAGATGAATGATGACTGATGACGGAGAAAAATGAACAGTTGGAGTACTTTACATTAAGATGTTGAAGATTACAAGGGTAGTCGATACAAATGGAGGCACTTGTTATGTACACGAAGGGCGCACAATGGCATAGACTGGTATAGCAGTTCTATACCCACGACGAATCACCAGGATGGTTAATCCATTAAAACGACTATGAGCTAGGTGCACCATAGAACCATGTAGCAAGGGCTAACAATGGTGGCGAGAACGCAAAATTCACAAAAAGGACCGATATAGTTCGGCGAGACACAATAATCACGTACGTGAGTATCCAACGTAGTGACGAATACCTCGCACAACCGGTCACAACAAAATCTAAGAAAAACGCCCTCTTGTGATGCGTATCAAACAATAGTTATTATTTCAAACAATATTTCTTGTCAAAACATAATAGAAAAACAAAAAATATCATATTTCTTTCATAACGTAAAAAAATATTGTTTTACATTATAATAACGTTTATATTTAAACATTTTATGTAGAAAAAAGCAACTTCTAGTGCTTTCTTTGAACTCTCTATAATAATAAGTTAAATGAAAAAATCTAATAAGATTATTTTAATAAAGAAATGTTGTATGTCTAAATGTTAAAAATCTCAATTTTAAATTTATATTAAACTAAAAATTTAACTACAAATAATATTCAAAGTTAATGTGTAAGTCTTATGCTAAAAATAAATAGTTTTAAATTTTATTATTATATTTCAAAAAAATTATTAATATACCTTCTTGAACGTCAAGATTATCGTATACTTGATTGCATAAAGGACAACGGTAGCTTCTCTTATTTATTTTCCAAGTATCTATACATCCTTTGCAAAATTTGTGTGAACATTCTCCTATAGATGTATCTGGATTTTTGTCATAACAGACAGAGCATAACTCTATAAGAAAAATTTAATAAATTATTTGACATAATAAAACATTTTTCTATGCAAAATTTGTAAAATGGTAAATATTATTTAGGAATTTTAACACTGACGACACAATGTTTCATTTATACAAAAATATTACCTTGATTATAATAAATTCCAAATTAATTTTTAATAGAATAAAAAGTTGATTTATTTTTAACTTACGTTTTTCATTATGGTCTTCGCCTTGAATAGCACATGCTTTCAAAATATATGAAAATATTATATATTATATATAATATATAGCAATGATAGGCATTAACTAGTTAAAAAATTATGCTTTTTTAAATTTTCAACCTAAATAGTTAATTATTTTTCTAATAAACTTTTTACTTAACTAATTCAATTTTCCATTAAAAATCTTAGCTTTTTTCAGTTATTAAATAAAATAACAGTTAAGCTAAATTCAAAATTTCATAAAAAAATATATCTTTAAACGCTGAGGACGTGTTATAATTTAAAAAAAAATCGAATTTTTCCCTATCCCAAATATTATATTAATACAAAAATAATTATAATATTCTACATTTTTTCAAAAATATTGAGTTTTAGCTTACATTCTTCATTTTGATTTTTGACTGTGATACCATCAGCTTTAATAACACACAACAAAAAAAAATATATATATACATTTATACCTTTATCACTAAATAGACCCATTTAAAATAAAATAAATTCCGGAAAAACTACATTTTATCCTTTCTTAAATGTGTTCAATTAAAAAAAAAATTATACAGTGGGTTAGCGACACAGTAGGGATGTGGGATAGTTGGAACTAGTACAGATGATTTTAATCACTGTCATAAGAAATGCTTCAATGCAAACTCTATTGACAGTGTTAAGTTTTAAAAAATTGGTGGATTATACCAAAAGCAAAATTAATCCCTATTTCCTTTATTATTTCTGATTAGTAGTTTTTTTATTTGGAAGTAAAATATATTATTAAATATAGAGTCAAAAATTTACTTTTCTAAATCCATTTGTTGCAAATAGATTTTTTTCCATCGCCACTAATTTTTGATATTATTAATAATTAATTAAAAATATAGATTAACATATAAGAAATGAAAATAAATTCTTTGACACACCTATGTTCATAATTATAATACAAAATCTATATACGAATAAAAAAAATTTTAGTGTTTAAATCTAAAGATTTTAAATAAATTATCAACATTTATATTAACATTCTGAGACATATCAACTAAATGCAGCAAAATTATTACATGGATTCATTATAATAAGTTGTCAATTAATTCCAAATAAATATTTATAATATTAAGATTGAACTTACGTTCTTCATTTTGGCCATCGTTTTGAATACTATATGCTTATAAAATACATAAATAAATTTATACATATAAATTTTATACAGTGAGATTAAAAAGTTAATTTTTTTTTTTTAATTTTCAGCTTAACTAATTAATTAGTTTTCTAATTAAATTTTTAACTTAATAAATTTAATTTTTCGTTAAAATAACTTAACTTTTTTCAGTTATTAGTTAAAATAACAGCTAAGCTAAATTCAAAATTTCATAAAAAATGTATGTTTATACGATGTGTATGCGAATTAATTTTAAAAAATCAGATTATACCATATGCTAAATAATATATTTATATAAAAATAATTATAATTTTTAAAATTTTTAAATTGATTTTTTTTTTAATAATTATTTCTAAAAATAGAACCAAAACAAAAATGTATAATAAGAATAAAAAAAAAGTTATGACAATTTTTAGAAAAATAATCTTTAAAGGCTGAGGACGTGTTATAATTAAAAAAAAAAAATCGAATTTTTTCCTATCCCAAATATTATATTTATATTAAATTAATTATAATTTTCTAATTTTTTTTAAAAATATTTAGTTTTAACTTACGTTCTTCATTTTGGTTTTCAACTGGGATATCATCAGCTTTAAAAACACAAAAATAATATATAAATATATATTTATACCTTGTTTACTATATAGACCCAAGTAAAATAAAATAAATTCCGGAAAAACTAAATTTTATCCTCTTATTTTAAATGTAATTAAGGGGAGACTAGTGATGGCTACCATGATATTCATGGATGTTATTGAATCTAAAATTTAGATTTAATGAGATAAAAATCAAATAAGTTAGAACATTTTTTTCTAACTCAAAAACCTGTGTAAGGTATTTAAAATAAAATAAAATACAAAACTAAGTATTATAACGCAGAATAGAAAATAAATTCTTTGATGCGCCTATGATAATAATAATTATAATACAAAATCAAAATATGTGTTAGATATGAAGTTATAAGAGGGCGTTTTGTTATGACTGATAACGCCACTCGCACTACTACCACCGGTTGTGCGAGAGATCCATTATCTTGTATGGTTACGTACACGATCGTTGTACATCGAGTTACTGTTGATTTTGCTTGGTTCAATTTTCATGCCAACGACTTCATTCACATTCAATTCATATCAATCAGTCATCATAATTAGTATCGATAAATAGTTATTAATTATATTGTTTTGTGTTATTTTAATCTTATTATTTGATTTATTTGAAGCATTGTAGCATTAGTATTAAGGGCCTCCTACCCACATCGATTTATATATAATATTTTGGTTTATATTTTCAATACAGTTAATTGTTTTATATTCTTTTAATACATTTTTATTCATTTTATACAGTCAACTCCCTACTTCTTTCTCCTGCATGATTTAGAGACTCGAGAAACGAATGTTGACTAACCCACACATCATTACTGTTCAAACAGTATGATTAAAAAATTTAAGTGCTTAAATCTAAAGATTTTAAATAAATTATCATCATTTATGTTATCACTCTGAGAAAATATCGACAAAATGCAGCAAAAATATCACATTGATTCATTATAATATGTTTTCAATTAATTCCAAATAAATATTTATAATATTAAACTTGAACTTAGGTTCTTCATTTTGGCAATTGCCTTGAATACCATATGCTTTTAAAATACATAAATAAATATATACATATAAATTATATACAGAATGATTTTTTTTATTATAATCATTAAAAATTCAAATGACGTTTACTATTAAATTAAAAACTCAAATATTTAAATTTATTCAAAATATGTGTTCTCATTTAGAAAAACAAAGTTGACACCCTTGCATGGTATAACAGATGAACTTATATGTATTACATAGTTTATAATTCATTAATAATTAATAACTAAAGATAACCAAAAAAAAAAAAATGTTAAAATTATATTTATTCTGTAAGTAATTGAGTGAGTTATGATAAAAAAATCACTTTGTATGATATATGGACATAAATTTACTATATATGTGTCCAAATATTACATTATATATAGAGTGTTCTGTATAATAATATATACTATCCTATTGTTCAAATATGATTAATATTATACTAAGACACTAATTTTCTCAGAAAATATTGAAAATTTAAATTTATTGTAAAAGAAAAAAACTAATAAGTTCATAAAACTCTACAACAATATGTAGTAGAAAAAATAATTTTTTTCATTCCTGGAGGAATAAAAATCCTTAACTATTATTTTCTTAAACGAGAAAATTTATTTTTAACTTTATATTATGATACGACAGTGCATCTGTAACCATGTTCTTTTTTATTTTTTCTATTAAAAGCTCCAACTGTCATGTGAAATAAATATGATAAAAATATCATAAAAATGAAATAAATGTGATTTTTACATGATCTTGAGGACATTTTTTTTTCTTTTGACTTCACTTACAGTGGAGTGCAATCATCAAGGCCTCTACATTTGATGAGCATTATTTTAAATGGTTTAATTAGTTCAACTCTCATATAAAAACAGCATTACGAAAAAAAGCCCGGAATATCGGCCACCCAGCTTCTCTTTATTGTATCGGTTTAGATAAGCATAACAATAAAAATGTTATATCGAACTAGTAATAAAAATTCAAAACTACTAGTTAGCGGTGAAATTGATGCTAAACACCCAAGCTTTTGATGAAAAACAACTCACGAGGTAATAATCTTCTTGGACTTATTTTCTGAGCACACTATAAAATACTCTCTCCTCCAGATTTCACCTACTGGCCGACTTCAACATCAAAACGTCCTGACATCCTTGAAATTTTAGTCACAAAAATTTAAATTAACATCTTTTACCAAATTAAAAACTTTAATTACTTGTTCTCAGACCACTCCTCTGTTACACTGACAATTAACGCATCGGCTCCTATTAGATCTAGTAATCTTCCACTGACAAATAAAACAACAAATTGGGAATAATTTCAAAAAATACTGATAACACTTATTTAAATAGTTAACTAAAATCTTCTCAAAATATAGCCTGCTTTCCTTCTTTTCTGAAGTACTTGAAAAATTATTGCTTAGGAGAATAAATTCTATAATAATTCAATAAAATACTATACCTGACGCACAATTTGGTTTTCGTAGCAGACACTTAACTATTCAACAAATTAACCACTTAACTAACACTATTGCAACTTCACTAGAAAAATAACAGTACTGTTCTGCCGCCCTACTGGATGTTGCTCTAATTTACAACCGAGTTTGGCATGACAGTTTTCTTTTTAAATTAAAACTACTCTTACCACCTTCATACTACTTATTTTTTAAACCTCATTTTATAAAATGTCATTTTTCAATTCGCTAACGGTCAGCTCTTTCAATGAAATCTGATATAAAGGCAGGAGTACCACAAAATGATATATCTGCTCCCCTGTAATTATGTACATACGTACATGATTATGTCGATGAAAAAGCTATTTCATTTCTGTTAATAAAAATTCTCAGATAGCTCCAGATAATTTACAATGTCATCTTAATGACATTCAACCCTGGTATTATGACTAGAGACTTAAAATAAATAAATAAATCTTGTCACATTAATTTTATACTTAGAAAAGGGCTTCATCCACAAGTTTACTTAAATAATATTTAAATACCAATCTCAACTACTACAAAATAGCTTAGTATACACCTTGACCAAAAACTTAACTGGTCATATAAACTCTACTAAAATCAAACATAACAAACACTTTTTTATAATCAAACGTTTTCTATTGTGTAAATCAAAACTTTAACTTTATAAGAAATGCTACTTTACTGTTTATGGATATATGGAATTCAAATGTGAGGATCAGCAAAAAAAAACGAACTTAAATAAAATTAAAATTATGTAGAATAAGATACTTCGACTAGTAATAAATGCGCCACCTTACGTTTCAAATTATTTCTTATATTCAGACTTACAACTAAATGCAGTATTGTTAGGTTCCAAGGAACACTACACTCGATACCACCATTCCCTTCTTAATCATCCTAATTCTTTAGTAAAGGATACTTAACCCACAATGCCTAGCAATCCTCCCAAAAGACTAAAAAGGAAGTGTTGGAGAGATCTTATCTTTTATACTTATTGTACTAATATTGTATAAATTGTATAATTCAAATAAAGAAAAAAATGATGATAGAAAAAAAATTACAAACAATTTTATTATCTTGATTAACCGTTTGTCTGTTACAACTTGTTAAAGTGAAATGATTTTAGACTGAATTTCTATTTTTATTTTTTTGTTTTCAATACGGAAGTCATTATTTTTATATGGTTTAACGTAAACTAATTTTCATTAACCAAGTTATGACACATAAGATAGTAATAAAAATGTATGATATACTAAATGAGAGATAATAAAAATAGATTCAAATCTGGTATTAACTATACTCAATGGTAGGTATTGACTGTTATGCGACAGTGAAAAAATATACCTTCTTATGACGGTGAAGGTACACAAGGGTATCTACAATATATTTATCTGTACTTTTCCCGTAAATTATTTCACTATCGTTAGTTTATCAGTCTTATATCTTATTATATAGGTTGTTCAGTTAATAAGGAAATAGTTTTCAATTGTTCTCGTTGCTTGTAACGATTTACTTGTTTTTTACGTACTGAACACTCTGAATTTAAGTCGAATTATCATTAGACATAATTTTAATAATATCAAACATTTTAAAATTATACAATTACGGTTTATATGTCGGTCATTTTAGTTTTTGATATTGACGTGAACACAGTATTTACATTAATTCAAAAGTGCGTAGTGTTATTAGTGTATTTATTGTATTTAATATATAATTTAGATAAATGCTAAATGTGGCTAATGGTCAGACTAACAACTAACATCGTAATGAAAGACTTAGGAGATCTAGGTAAGTATAAACAACATTTTGAAACATATAATAGTCAAATAATCGTTTTAGAAATTATAATTGTTATTATATGTTATTAATAACAAAATTATCATTTTATTAGAAAAATAAATTAAATAATAAAATAAGTGATGTATAGGGAAATCAGATTCTGAAGGTGAACATTTGTTCAAATGAAAGCAACGAAAATAAATCCATATATATCAAGTCTAGAGCCGGCAATGATGATGGTACTCAGTGGTATGATGCACCATATCCTCAAGCTCAAACAATTTCTCGTTACATCTTGCATCAAAAACCTGGACTATCAAATTATACTTCATTATTTACAGTAATAGGGTGGCCCACCACTCACTGACAACTTAAATAACTTTTGATCCAGTTAATATTTTTAGCTGATTTTTTTTTTAAATATTAGTTAGACGTTAGGTCTATAGCTATCCCGCAGGGGTATCCGCAAGGATTACGGGCCTAACAACTCCGCGGACCCTAGTTATTTCAGTGGGGGTGGCAACACGTACCACTGCTCTTAGCCGGTCATGACTTTGGTTAGTTGGGATCGGTAGGCCTGGGCATACCTGCTTGCTAACAGCGAATACGCCCCCCTAACCCAGCCATACCAAGTGAAAGGGTTGCTAACTTGTCACAGGGTAGTTAGCCCAAAGGTATAGTGACCATTGGGATCCTCTATGGCACCTGGCGCACC